TTTATGACAAAAAGTTGTCAAACAACAGATTTTATTAGTACAAAATAGCTATCCTTATCAATACAAAATAAATTTTATTATTAATTAATTTAATTAAAATGTGTTGAAATGAATTCTTATATAAATTAATTAACCAAAAGGAAACAAATCACTTACTTTCGTCTCATAAATTTAAATATTCAATCCTTATCCATTTTTAAATGAAACTTTATTTTCATACTATTTTACTTTTTCAAACGAATCTATTATTTCTGTGATTATAATATTTTCATTTAAACATAAAATGAGTTGAAATTTATTTAGACGAAACAAAATAAAATAAATTGAAATCAATTGAAATAGATCTAAAATTCAGACATACTAAACTGAATTAAGTTATACCAAAATTAATTTCGCATTAAATTAAATAAAGCAAAAGAAATAATATTAAATTAAATTTAGCTTAAGCTAATCTTTATGTTCCATTCAATTTAATTTTTAAAAAAATGTCACTGTTAATTAATAGCATCGTAACAAGTGTTTTTTTTTTAGTGCCAAGAATTGAAATGCTAATTGAATATTTGAATATTAGTTGATTATCAGTTCAAATTTAAATATTTACCACAATAGTTAATAATAAAAATAAAATTAAAATTTGAAAAACATTATTTTGGAATCATTTCATACCTAACATTTGAAATAATTTTGTTCGGTTGATTTAAAAAGTTCGATTTTCTTATTTTCAAACTATTTCTCCTTCCGTTAGCTAACTTACGGTTTCCAAATTTTATATTAGTTATTACTCATATTTTTGTCAATTGGTAAAATTTCCAAATTTCTGATATGAAATTAATAATTAGATATTATTAATTTAATTTAAAAATTTTTGTGCATAAAAATTTTTTTGACACCCATTATATCCTGTTAAATGGTAATTACTAGCGGAATTTTTCATTTTTTTTTTTTGCAACAAACTTTTTAAAAGTTCTAAGGCAAAAAAATTTCTTAAATATATTCAAAATAACTCTTATTTTTTTAAATTTTAAAAATTATAAAAAACAACGAAAAATATTATCGATTTAGTAGAGAATTAATTCAGCGTAACGATGAATCGAGAAGCATCAGAGGATGAAAATGATATAAACGAGCCAAGTTATTTCTGTTATAAGGCTTATCTTAAGGTTTCTTCCTTTTTTTTTTTTTTTGATTTTCTTAAATTTAATTTTTTCAGGCTTTTCTCTCTTTTTTTGTTAAAGAAATAATAAATTTGTGTGGTTTTATTTATTTATTTATTTATTTTTTTGAGGAAAAGACGGTAAAATGGAATGGAAAAATGTTTTTCAAAATTTTATTAAATTTCAATTTTTTTTTTCCATTTCAGTATCCTCTATTCAAACATTGTAGACGGCTGGTTATGCTATCTTTATTTTATATTCGATGATAGGAATTAAACGATTATACGATCATATCAATCAATTAATGATCATCGATCAATGCATTTCATGTCGATTGTATGAAGAACAAACTACTGGAGTAATTTATTCAAATTTTAATTAGCCTAAAAAAATTAATGCTTATTCGTATAACCTTTTCAATTTTTACCTGTGTATAACAGTACAGGTAAAATATGAATATGTTTATAATAGAATTATAGAACAAATTTAAAATTTAATATTTCTAAGGACAAATCATTATCTGATAAAAAGCAGAAAATAAAGATAGCATTTGCAAAAAATAATTTTAACATAAAATAAATTTTTCAACTTAAAATTTTTCATTACACTACACTTTTTTCTTTTTTTTTTTTGCAATTAATTTGATGATATCTGATAAATACATTAATCACATTATAATTTAGCTAATAATGAAATAGGCAAATAATCTTAAATTCAAAATAATTTTAATTAAACTAATTTAGTTACAACATTATTTAGTCATTATTCAGTCTTAAATGCAATGCATATCGTTGAGTGAATTAAAAAATGAAATACTTCTTTTTTTTGCTTAATTATTTAAATTGGTTATTGTTTAAAGCAATAAATACTAAAATTTATTAAATTTTTTTTTCATTTAATCAAATTTAATTATTTCTTTTAAAAAAAAAAAAAATGATTGCAGTTAATTTGGGGTCTATCAGAATTATTGCTATATGGTTTTGCGCCATTATCGGCGCTTTTTGCATTAATTCATGCTGATTTAGAATGGCTTTTTCCAACTTATGCAATGCGAACACTATTTCCGAGCTTTATGCTTGCTTTACCAATAGCATTTACTATTGTAAGTTCAAATTAAAATTAAGTATTAAATATGGTTTAAACATGTTTAAAATGAAAAATGTTAGTCATTAATTAAGTAAATATTTATTATTACTATTATTATTATTATTATCATTACTATTACTATTATTATTATTATTACTATTATTATTATTGACAAGCACTGATGGATTTCAGATGAATTTGCTCTTTTTTTGTAGATCGAAATTTAAGAAAAATAGTATGTTATAGGCATGATTAATAAATTATTCAACAGTCAGATTGAGATTCTACAGTAAAGCCTGTTAAATTATAAGTGATAACACAAATAATAATGCAAAAATAATAATACAAATAATAACAACAATAACATTAATATAAATAATGATAATAAATAGCAATAACAATAGACAATAATAATTAATAATGATAATAAATAGAGAAAGTAAAGTGATAGCAAAATTTTTGAGGAACGAGAAATCACACCACGTCAAAAAAGAATTGTGAAAGATTGAATAATGGTAGAAATTTAAAAAAGTGATAATGAGACGGAAGGAAAAAAGAGCCAAAATTTATAATTTGAAAAAAGAGGAAAAAAAACTAAAAATAAACGAAAAAAGAATGAAATTTGTTTAAAATAAATTTTAGTCCTCGTATATTTTATATTGGCTTATTGATGTTATAATTGATGTACAACAAATTTCGGATAATTTGCTTGAAATGGAAGTATGGAAACGATGCATTTGGGCTAGTGCATTACTAATTGCTAATGTTTATGCTTTACTACTTGCAATTATTGTTGCACAATTAATTTATTATCAACATTATATTATTATTGAAGAGCAGGTAATTAATTAATTAATTATCAAAAGACAGGTAAATAATTTAATAATGCAAAATTGTTTGTTTAAAAAATGTATGAATTAATAAAAATATTATAGAAATTACTAATTATAATTAAATAATATAAATTATACTTTAAAATAAAGATAAAAAAAATCTAGATCTCAAAAAAAAAAGATAACTTTTATTGCCATTTAATTAACCAACGAATATGTTATCAACGATTATGCATGGTAGCATATTTGTTATCAATTATCAGTGATATGTTTTAAACATTTACGTTTAATGATCATAACGTACACATATATCTGAATTTTATGATTATATTTCGAGTAATAAAATATTTCAAATAATTTTTTTTTTTATAATTTGTTAGAAGAATGAAAAAAAAAAAAAAATAAAAGGATGGAAGAAAAAGATAAATTTTGAAAGAATTATTTTTAGGCTATACGTATGCAACAAAATTTAATGAATAGAGAAAGAATTGAATATTTTCATCATAACAGACATCAAAATGAAATTCAATTTATTAATCAACCAGGAAATGCTGAAATTATGCAAAATCATGAAGAATTATTTAATCATTAAGCAAATATTATTGATAATACTTAATAATTCTTTTTTTTTTTTCTACGTTTTCCTATACTTTCAATTCTTTTCTTCTCTCCCTCCCTCTTACCTTTCTCTTTCTCTCTCTTTCCTCTCTCTCCTTACAGATGTGTATGTAATATTTAAATTTTAAATACAATAATTTCAAATTTGATTGTGATTATGAATAAAAAAAGAAAAAGAAATGATACAAACATTTTGTTTAGATAACAAAAAATTTAAATTAATTAATTAATTAAATAATTGGTTGTTAATAAATCGTATCAAATACTACTGTTTTATACTACCAAATGATAGTAATAAAATTAATTAAAATATATAAAAGATGTGTGAAGTTCTTTTTTTTTTTTTTAAAATTTGATTAATTCTTTCTTTTCCGTTTAAGAATATTTATTTTACTTCAATGATTACATATCAGTGCTGAGCTGTTCAAAAAAGAAACGAAAAAGCATAATTGTCGAGAATAAATGATTTATAAATTGTGTTACAATTTTTTTTAACATTTAATATTTGAAATTAATACAATGCATAAATTAATACATTGATTATCGATTTCGCTACATTGATTCACTCAATACATTGACATAATTGATTTACTTAATTCAAAATATAATTCATCACATTTAACACTTATATATTAAACAGGAAATATTAATTAGTTCATAATGTACTCGTTCAAATGATATATTGATTACTAATTCGAATATATTGATTATACAGGTTTATTCTCATCGATTATTTTATTATCATTATTTATTGGTAACAACAAAATTGGATGAATTTCATTTGTGTCATAATTTTTTTGATACTTAATCGGTCATGGCCCCAATTAATTTTTACAATAAAAATTAAAATTTTGAAAAAAATTTAAATTTTGAATTTTTTGAAAATACTACAATTTGTAAGATTTTTTGTATATTAAACTAGGAAATAAGTTCTAATAATGTTAAATTTTACTTCCATTTAATGCTAATTCTATATAAAAATATAACCGATATTTTCAACTTTTTTGATTATTTTGCATACATTTTTTGTTCTTTCCTTTTAACTGCTAAAACTTTTTAAATTTAAACAACGATACGACTAAAAATCATAATTTTACCTCAAAATTATTAGCATAGTATCTTCTTTACTAATTTTTTTTATGAACACAAAAAGAAAAACTATAAGAAAGGTTGAAAATATATAAAAATGAATTTACATAGAAATTTTTGGTAGTATTATTAAGAAAACAAAGATTAAAATTTCGCTGCAATGTGATTATTGATAAGCTATCACCGTGATAATACCCTGATAAAGTAAATGAGATGTATTTCATTCTTGAGATGCTGATAATCCATTTTTGTAAATTATTTCTGGTTCACCCAATAACAGTCTGTCAATAATTTCTTTGCCTTGCATAAAGCAATGATCCTGATTTGATACCTCATATTTCCAACCACCAAATCGACCTCTCGAATATATTTCATGCTTTTCAAGAATTTGATGAACACGGGTTAATTCATTATCTCTCTGAAACATTCTTCATATCAACTGATATTCTTTCTCGAGATAAAAATCTTTTAAATTAAGAATAAGAATGATTACTTTCAATTCACGCAAGACATACACGTATCACAAAAGTAAAATCGTACTAATTTCAACTTCACTAACATGAAACGTGTATACGTATAAAGTAAAACACATAAATGATTAAATTAAAACTCCTAAACGTAAACGTGAACGTGAACGTGAACTTACTAACATTCACAGTGGGTATAGGATATCCATATGGTAGCAATGTTGAAAACAGACTAACAATCTGTTCACGTGAAATGATTGATTTCCGTATTAGACATTTAATTGTTTTTTCTTTTATTTCTTCCTCACTAATCTGCAAAAATATTTTTAACCTTTAAACTTAACAAATACTGTATTTGATTGGTAATAAATTTGATAGTTTATTTTAAAAAAAAAATATTTAAAAAGTATTTTAAAAAAATCAACTTATTCAAGTTGTTAATTTATCAAAATTTAATAAATTTCTTAAAATTTGATTTCAAAAATATAAACTTAATAATAGAAGTAATTAATTAAGTAATAAAATAAACGACTTAGATTAGCGCTATAGAAATTACATTAGCAAATCTATGATTAAAATATTTCTTTCAATAATAATTGTCAAATTTTAGATTTTATAAATAAAAGAAGAAAATAGAATATGAATTGCTAACACTGTTATCATTGATATCATAGGCACATTCACATAGTACTGACCAATACTTATCATTATCTGGGGTCACCTCACCATAACGTGATAAGAAAGTAACACGATAGAACGGTACGGTATTTTCCGGAAAATAAAGCCAAGTAAATTGTTCTGCAACTCGACTCATTGGTTTTATTAAGCCAACACCTATCACAAATACCTGAAAAATGCATTGAAATGCTATAATACTCTTTGTTCAATAGAAAAATACGTCAAAAAGAGTTAATTAATTCTTACCTTATTGTATTTTAAATCAATTTGCTGACATAATTTAGTGTATTTGATTAGTTGATCAATAGGTCCTGTATTGATAAGTATATCATAGCTGAGATTTACCTTTCCATATCGTTCATTTTCATACATAATTGTTTTTCTTTTAGCATCAATGTTAATAACCTAAAATAAAATCATTCGTCGTTGCAACATATTAAACTACACTTGTTTACATGAAGGGAAAACTCTTCTCAACTTTTAAAAAGTTTCCGGAATCCAAATACCGCATACTATAATCACTATAATAACGTGTAATGCCAATAAATACATTTTCGGTTTTCCGTTCAAGTATGAATGAGTAATCAGTAAATTCTGGAATAAACCTTGCTACACTTATCACTCATCATAAAAGCTATCAGTTAAATTCTATTGATTAATAGTTAAGTTAGAAAGAGGATGGGAAACTTAACTGGCATCCAAAATGAAACCACTGAGATGGTAATTTGTTAGTCATTGATTTCCAAATTGACCCTGTCCCATAGCGTTTCGGAAACATAAATCTGGCATTTGGACCCCAGCCAAGGTCAATTTCCTGAAATTTGTACAATACTTTGGACAATGCCTTTTGCATGAAAGAAATTATTAACGGAAAAAAGGATACGCATTTTTGATAAATTAATGTAATGAGTATTTGATGAAATTAAGGGAATAATTTAATGTATCATTCTGGCTCAGTAGCCTATTATCATTATCAGTTATTTGGCCTTAAAGTTTCGTTCATGTAATGATTATAACTTGAAAAGTTTCAATATGACATACTGATACCTTTAAATCTTCTTCATTCATGGCACAAAATTCTTCCAATTTTTCATAAGGTATCATAGCAACTCGAGTTCCAATCCATACCGGATTCATCTGATCCGGTCTTACAGTCCAAACCTTTAATTTTAAATCAGTTAACCTTGGATAGAATTTGTGCCAGTTGCACCTTCCATCCATTACTTTCAACCGATCCTTCAAACAGAATTTATTGATGATCAGGGAATGTCGATGCATAAAATCATTAATTACCTGAATCGATAAACTTATGGACAAACCTTTCGAGTATACTGTTTGAAGAAGTAATTGCTTAGTGTTGGCCCGAAATGCTCTTCGATCCAATCATTAAAATTTTTTGGCGGAATTCTTTCCTAAAAAAAAAACATTAATTTATGAAATCAATAAAATGAAATGTTTGCCTTTTGTAGATAAATTTTAAACATTTTTGATAAATTCACCGCTATTTATTGCAATAATATTAGTCTCAAACTTTTGATTCTGTTTAGTTCGATTTTAAAATTTCAACAATGTAAACTTATATATAAGCAATGACTAACAACGGAAACGTCTTCTTTGGAAGTGGTTGGTCATTTAAATTCAAATTGTGAATTCATATTGTCAATACAAAAATGCATTCTATTGAACGATTCAGGAAAAAGGAAATATATCACAATTTTATCAATTTGAAATTTCAAATGAAAGTGATTAGACAGAGAATTTTAAATTTTGTCAAATTTGACAATCACTGAATATCTACTTGCCGCTGATTTTCTACGCCGATCTCGCAGATCTTCCAAGCATTTCGCTTTAATGCTTGCTGGAAACATTGGTACTGCATACTGCACCGGATACGGTACAAGATGTAAGCCTTTCTCGTTGAACATATAACTTATATCAACCTATAAGAATACGAAAGTGTAAAATGATAATGTTATCATATCATATCATATCATGGTATCAATTTTTGATCTGATAAGCATCATTTCATCATCTTTCCTGTATTCCGGATAAATTTACTATGAAAAAAGTCAACAACTGAAATCATTAAAAATGATGATAAAATTTTTAAATAAATTTTTATTATATTCAGAAAATAAACAAAACCTGACAGCTTCTTGTTAAAATATTCCATTCATTTATGGCCCAACATATTGCTTCCTTGTAATAAGGTAAATTATGATCAAAAGTGACATGTCCTCCCATATCCCAGAAAAATCCATTTTCATCCATAACTGTTCGACTTAATCCACCAGGTGATAATTCCTACACTCAACATTTTGTGAAAAGATGCAAACTTTATAAAATTATTACAACCAAATCAAAATTTGAAAAATAAATTTAAAGAAATTAGAAAATAATTTACTTAGTTTTTCATTTTATTCTTTCTTTCGTTATATTTTTATTATTTTATTAAATATTTCCCTTGCTCTGTGTTGCATTATATCACTATGTAGAAATGTTTGTGACCTGAGATGTTGACAAGAATATTTCTCTCATGTCACCTGAGATGTCAAGACTATTTCTCTCATGTCACCTGAGATGTCAAGAATATTTCTCTCATGTCACCAACCTTCTCCAAAACAATTAATTCGACATTTTTAGCAATATCAATGTTATTGTTTTGCAATTGATAAAGACGATAAGCTACACCAAGACCTGTCGGTGCAGCACCGATAACTATAATTCTCATCAATAAAGCAATTCCAAGTGTTATATAAATATAACTTTATCAATCTGAAAGTAAAGAAGTAATGTGAGCTAATCAATATAATATGAATGATATGACTGATCAAAAGATTAACTTATAGTAAGCAAAAAATTTAGAAATAACTCATAAGGAAATGATTAATGTTAGCAAATAAATAACTAATGATAGTATATTATCAGCAAAGTATGAAACATAGCCTTTTGCTGATAAGAAAAGATAGAAAAGGAATAAGAAGAGTGATATCTCATAGTGATATGAATGTTATAGTGATATGAACTTGTGATAAACAGCCGTAACCCAAATTTGTAAGTTAGATATGTGTTGAATGAAGACTGTCACCAATCCCTTACACAATTAATAGTTCTACTTTTCTTATATCATTTCCTCATCTCAATTATGGCTATTCTTTTTACTTATCCATCCTCCCTCTCTCTCTCCTTTCTCTCTCCTCTCTTCCTTCTCTCTCTCTCTCTCCCTAGCAAATACTAGATTTATTATTAACTGAACATAATTTACTAACTTTTGACATTATTTGTGACTTCTTTGAAACTCTTCTGATACAAATTCAAATTTTAATTATCATTGAAATTCAATTTCTATGAAATAAATCAAAGATTTCAAATTGTTTAAATTTTAGAACTAATTTTGCCGTTGTAATTATTCAGATTCTTTTAATCAATGCATTATAGCAAATGTTTCATGCGATAAATGCCAAAAATACTGAAAAGTTGGAATTGGCACTGGGAAATTTCAATGAACGCTGAAATTTTAATTTAATTATCAAATGAATAATTCAACATTTTATATTGAATTATTTGCTATTAACAGTAGCACTTAGAAAAATCACAATTGCTAGAATCTTTCCAGAATCTGCCGGATACGGAAAAGCATTTGCTTTCAAGAAAAAGAAAAAAAAGGCATTCGAATATTTCTTTTTATCTATTTGCTAATTAACCTTTGAAAAAATTAAAAAGACTTAGACTTTACAGAAATTATGGCAATTGTTTGAATAATATCCAGAAATATCTCGTAGTAATAGGCTTTTTTCCAATAATTAACTTTACATTCAGCCTTAGTGAGCCAAATAAAAGCCAAGCGTTATGATGCCTAACTAATTTTACTAGGCTATTAAATGTTGCAGTACTTGCTTTCAGAGCTATACAAATAAATGTTGCAGTACTTACTTTCAGAGCTATACAAATATTATACATAAAATCTTTTATAATATTTTCTAATTATTACCTTTAAAGTTGGCCGTATAAACTATTGGCCAAGCTGCAAAAAAAAAGTGTTGAAAAAAATTTAGAATTTAATAAATTTAGAATTCAATTTAATAGTTTAAGTTTTAAAAGTTCTGTACAAATAATATGGTTATCAAATGTTAAATGTTATCACAGATCTTGAAAGGATTGAAAAGATTTAAAATGTTCTTCTCAATTCTAAATTTATTTTGCATTTATAACTTTCTATTTTTAATTATGTGAATATTTCCAATTGTGTAAATTTTTTAAACATTTTAAAATTATAAAAATTTTTCATCAAATAGAAAGGGATTAGACTACATTAAAAAACAAATACAATCTAATATTATAATTTAAAATTGAAAAGTTTTCAGTACATTAAGTTAAATTACTTAAAATAAAGCTGAAACTAAGAGTAAATAAATGAAAAAAAAAAAATTCGAGATATAATTGAAAATATATGTCACCAATTAATGCAATAACCTTCGCAATAATTTTAAAACTATCAAATCAAATCGTTAACAAATCGACCACTTGTTTAATTAATTAATTTAACTAAATGTACTAAAAAATTTATAACTTGCCAGCAAATTTTAGTGCTAACAAATAAAATTTTAAATCAATGAAATATTTAAAATTTTGGCAATTAAAAATTAATGTGCTTTCGAAGGAATTATTAGATTAAAAAACTATTGAATAACTGTTAAAGTGTTTTAGCACTTTAATGGATGTCAATGAGAGCATTTTAATTTTAAAATTAATTTTCAAATTCGTACAAATAAAAATTATAGCTTATTTGGTCGAAAATGTATTAATTATTTACTTCTAGCAAAAATATATCGAAGAAAACTTAAAATTGATGCAAAAAGTTTTATTCAAATTAAATTACTTTCACTAATTAATGATTAAAATTCAATTGTACTAATAGTTTTACATTATAATGCAGCGAATTCCACTTATCCTACTAACAACTGTTTATTTTGCTAGCCTTCGTCCATCGTTGGCTATTGGCTATTTGTTTATTCCTACATTTGAAATCTTTGAAATAGAATAAGTTAAGCTCAATAATACATTTTTATTATTAGCAGTGTATACACTTTACGATTTCATTTGATTCAAACGTTGTTTATTAAATTTTAAATATGAATTGAATTCTATGAAATAACTTAACGTCCCAGACTTTATTATTTGTTTATTTCCAATGAGATTGTTTGTTTTTTTTTTTCAAATTAATGTCCCCTTTTTATTTCTACCTATAAATCTTACACCAATTAGATCAACCGCAATTTTCTAGAGACAACAAATGCTTTTTTATTCTGGTTCCCGCTTTACAGGATAAGTTCGTTATGCTCATCCTGTAAAGTCGTAGAAAATTCCGGATCCTGGATCTCATCAGTATTTGATATTTTCTCATTCTTTGCTGCAAATATTACTAACATATTTGTTTATAAAACGGTGGGTTTAATTTTTGTAAAAATATTTATTTAAATTATTGATTTTCCGAAATAATTTCTTACCTATTTTTGTGTTTCATTTTCAAAATTTCGAACTTTTGTTTATCACACGTTGTAATCTTACAGCATAGCCTGTTTATTTGAAATTTTATTCTTAATTCTAATACAATTCGTTCACATTCAAATGCAACAATCATTGCTCTTTCGTTTCTGTGCGTTTCAAAGTTGTAAATTGACGGAAATGCTTAAATTTCCGTTCAGTTTACTAACAAACTAGCATTTCAAAAATTTAAAATTATGCTATTCTTAAATTTCACAAATTTATCTTTTAATTTTACTTTTGCAGAGATTTAGCTGTCATTCCTACTGCTAATTCTGGCTAATTTCAATTTAAAATCTTACCACAATATTTGTTACTGATTTGAGTTAACCGACGTATCAGGCTCAAGTCTTCTGGTAACACGTCATTAACGGAAGTAATTATTTACCGCATGTGGAAGTAAGTAGGAATTTAATAGAGATTATAAATTTTAAGATGAGATGAAATAATTGAGTAAGAAAATTAATTTTTAATTTTAACCTTTGAAAATTTTTCTGCTTTCCGTTTGATATTTAAAACTGAATAGTTTCATATGAAATTCCGTTCCAAAATTCAAATTTAGAAGTTATCATAAAACCAACGATGATAATTTTTAGTGATAAGAAATTTTACAATAGTATCAAAACGACCAATCTTACGTGCAACACGAAACAAACGAAACAGAAATCTGAAGAGAAAAAATGAGGTACCACAAATTCCAAATATGTCATCGGTGGTGGAAATGAGTGAAAGCAAGGTAGGTTAATAAATGTTTACCTGTCTCAACTAATTAGCACCATTAGCACCTCTTCTGACACTGGCATTCATATTAATTTCAAATTTTAGCTATGTTTCATTTTTTTTTTTTCTTTAATTTAGTTCTATCATATTCGTATACTAAATACTTCAATTTTATGCTTATTAATAATTCAAAAAGTTTTCAATTACTTAAGTAATATATATGAATGATGAAACCATAATAAAACGGAAAATGTTAAAATCAAAATATTCGAAATGCTAAAACAATGCTTAGTAATGCAATAGAAATTGGATGAATCGTTAAAGTAGGATGAACTAATCAAAATAAACTTGAAAATCAGAAAATTTGCATAATCAAGGAGCTAAATTAATTTCTGATGGAATTTCTTCAAAAAATGTTGAAAAATAATTAACCAATCTGTTTAGACTAAATGAAATTAATTTGCAGTTAAACTCGAAAGTTCCAGAAAAAAATGAAATAACTTTTTCCTTCACTTTAACTCTAATAAGTATTACATTTTTTCTTTAATTTCTAATAAAAATTAAATTTTTTTTTTAATGAAATGTAAACATTGGTCGTTTTTATTTATTATTATTACTACATTATTACTATTTTATTTTCAAATTGTCATTCTATCGTTATTGCATGATCGTTTCTAAATTCATTGCTTTCATATCATTTATTTATCATTCACTTACGAATGTTTTCATAAAAGTTAGACTTTTCGTTTAAAATTAAATTTTCATCAAAAAAAATTTTGATATTTGTACAAAATAATTATTATTGATATTATATTTTCAAATAAAAATAAAAAAACCAAACCATTTTTTTTAAACTGTGATATGCAATTATCTCTATGTAATTACTATCAACAATTAAAGACAAAGTTTTTAGCTAAGCAATTTATCAACTAATCAGAATACTCTAATCTTATCTGTTTGAGTAGCACATTGTTCATAGTACAATGCTTTACTTACTTGCATGCATGCATGCATGCATGGATGTGCATGTCTGTGTGTATGTGGAAGTAAAAGATAAGATCATGAAAGTGTCGGTGTCTCGACAATATATTTCAATCATTTTACTACAACGAGAAAAATTCCATATGTATTTCATTCATTTCAATTGCAAAATTGTTGAATTTTGATCTAAAAAAAATGTGAAAGAATTGAAAAATGTAATTATTGATTGATTGATTGATTGGCTTTAAAGCAATCAATGAATGGATTGAAATTCAAAGAATAATATTAAAGCATACTTAGCTGTCACATATCTTTTATTTGGTTATAATATATGCATACATTTATGCAATATGAGCAATGATAACTATTTAGAAACTTATCAGTAGGCTTATCTGTTACATCTCGATGCTGATAAGAAGTCATTAAACAAAAGTTTGAGCAGAAAATTTCACCTTCACTTCACAGTTCAACATTAAAATTCCATTG